AGCCATGCTGGCTGGGGAATTCTGGGAGTTGAAGTCCACTCATCTTAAAGTGGCCAAGTTTAGACAACACTGCATTAAGCCAAAACAAATCACATTATAGTATAGTATGATGGCCTGGTTCAAACAACACGCTAAGGCAGTGACAATGCTTGCTGAACACAGTGAATCTCGATTTAGTCTTGTGTGTTATGTGATCCCAGCACATGTGGGTAATGTATATGTTACTGTTCTGTGCCGTCAAAATTGAATTAAGGGCAGTGTTAAAGTAAAGAGCCTATTCCTTCTAAGCTTCTAATACTGTTGAATAAAGTCGTTTTGAGTACATTTTGGTTAGCTGAGCAATTCAGTACTGAAGGCTTAAGAAATAAATAGAAGCTACAAGAGAAATATGGGGGCCAACCTAACATTTCTTTTATACTGCTTGCGTAGGTGGAAGGGAAAATAGGAATGGTGGTATAGCTTCATGCAGTAAACATCCTGGGCCTTGCAGCCAGGAAACCCTAAATGGGGCAACTGGGAGGTAATGGAAACAGCTGTTGTTTATATTATCTGATTGCTGAGTTTGTTGACAGTGGCATGTTGGGGCCATCAGGGCTGAAACTGCTCTCTGTATCAACAACTCCCAAAGTATGGTCTGTGGCCTGGTGTGTTCCCTGTAAAAAATAAAATAACAGTTCTTAGAAAATGTAATGATTTTAATAATCGCACTCTTTTGTCTCCAACCAGAGGTCTGCAGCTGTGATTTTACCAGCACTCTGACTGGAGAGAAGAGAACTCTAACCAAAGCATAGGCAATCTGATGACCTAAGTCTTTAAAAAAAGTTAAGTAACAAAATAAAAACAAACAAAACAAACAAAAAGGGTCAAAACTGCAGATAAATGAAATGACAGATAACAAGGGCCACCATTTTTTTAGGTTAACTAAGAGTTAAAAAATAGTAATTTCAGCTTGAATACAGATAAGTGTTTGAAAACTGTTATGGGAAATCCAACTGATAAAACATTCACAACTGTGGGCAGCCTAGTAGAAATGGGAATAAGAAGCTAAAACTTCTTGGACCCAGAAATATATTGATGATTATCTAAAGTTTGGTTTCATAAGTGCAGGTAGCAATAATCACTTGCCTTTGTGGGTAATCTGTCGCACAGAACTATCCAATGAGGTAACCATCATGAAACCATCAAAATTGGAAACATTTTGGAATGCAGGCATCAGAATTTGCAAGTAAGCCCATAGATTTTTCTTATGCAAGAAAAAGAAGTGTCTTCTGGAAAGAAAGAGAGAGAGGAAAGTGCACTTTCTATATATTCTTCCAGTAAAAACTTTGTATCAACTTCATATAATATTTCCAAACTAATAGCTGAGATAGATTATCTGTATACTGTTGGTGAAATGTTAATGCCTCCTGCACTGAACTTTATTACATTGTGGGTTTAGCAAATCAAGTGGGTTTGCTACTTTTATCCAAGAATTCAGTGAAACATAGAATTAAACATCTGGTTAAAAAAATTGATGGAAACTGTCACTTTGCTGCCATCTGGTGGTCATCCAGATTTTTCCAACTCAGAAGTAGTATGAAGGGTTTTTCTCCCTTTCTGTTCAGGCAATGTCTATTGTCTCAGCTGGAAGAAAACGGCTTACAGAGATGAATTGGGCTAGGTTCTTTCATTGCATATAACTATAATGTGATTTGATTGGTTTGGGCTTTGTGTGATGTATAATCACAGTCATTCCAAATTATAAATCATAGTTTACAGGTTAGTGTATGGTATCAATGCAGCCATCTGAAGTTCATTGACTGAACTTTCACTAAGCAAACTGTTGCTCACACAGTGTATGAACTTATCTTTGGAATCCATGATACCAAGATCAAGGTTTCTGGTTTGTGTATCTTGGCAAAAGGTCGCTTTTTTTCCCCTGTGTTTTTTTTTTTTCCTCTCCTCTTTTCTTTTTCCCATTTCTATCATTTTTTTAAAGTTTAAGGACTGTTTTGTTCAACTTTATTTTTTTAGTTTATCTTGGGATTTTGATTATATTTTGTATTTTTACAAAATAAAGATTAATTAAATACAAAAATAAAAATAAATCTTGGCAAAAATATACAATCACAGGTCTTGAAATAATGTTTTCTCATATAAGGTAGAATTGGGTACAGATGTGCTTATGTATTTATTAGTTTTTGGGTTTGTTTTAAAAAAGCAGAACAGGAATGGAGGAAGAAAAGTTAATGAGTTAATAGTAATAAAGCAAAAGTATGTCCATTCTGCATTCATTATTATGGCATAAATTAAAAAGTTACATTGTACAAGCCTGGATACTTGCTCCAGATATTTGCATCCATATCTTGTTGTTATTTATATTAGACAAGCAACCATTGAAAAAAGGAGGAAAAAACTCTATTTAAGGTAAGCACCAGACTGAACATACGGAGGATAACAATAAAAGTAAATATTTTTAAATAAAGGCACATTGGAATGAAAAGTTTAAATAATTATTTCTTTAAGAAGAGATGTTTTATTGTTTGTTGTATGTTCATTTGCTTGTTCTGAATGTATCACAGGGAAAACCACTGAAGGAAGCACAAGGTGAAGTCCTGTATGCTGCTTCCTTCTTGGAATGGTTTGCTGAAGAAGCTCGGCGCATTTATGGTGATATTATTCCACCTTCAGCAACAAACAGGAGAGTCCTTGTGTTGAAGCAGCCCGTGGGAGTTGCTGCCATCATTACTCCTGTGAGTCTGGCTGCCTTGTTAAAATCAGTTTGGGGATCCACTTAAAATGAGGAAGGGATTCCAGAAATGTGATGCTATCAAAGAAAAGGCTCTAGTTTTGGTACTTTATAAACAGATATTTAGTAGCAGAGAGATTGAGAGTGGACCATTAGAGTCTCAGGCAACTCTCAGATTATCTCATTCCAACTGTTCAGGGTTTAAATAATAGGGTGTGCAGTAATCAGAAGATCTGAATCAGTGAATTCAGGTAAAGCGTGATTCAGCTTGGACTAATTTAGGGATTTCTATTCAATTCAGAACTTCTCATATAAATATAAATGAAACTTAAAGAGAGTTTATAACCAAATTCTGTGTGGTCTTCTTTAAATACACATAACTTGCCAGACCCAGAAACCTCTGACTCTTTCAAACAGGTCCATTTCGAGATACAGTATTTTGAAATCTGCTTCGTATGTTATTAATAACTGAAAAAAGTGGGAGGAACCATGCAGGACAAGATAGCCAATGATTTCCAGAATATTGTCATTCCCACTAGCAGAAGTTGTAGCCAGTGCTATTACAATTTGTGATCTTTTTCTAGGTATTATTTTTTGCTAGAAATTTCAGAACTTGCCTGCTATTTCAATGTGCCCCCAAATCTATTGAACTTGTGTGTATCTTTTTAACATAGTGGAATTTTCCGAGTGCTATGATTACCCGGAAAGTGGGTGCTGCTTTGGCAGCTGGCTGCACGGTGGTAGTAAAGCCAGCCGAAGATACACCTTTATCTGCCTTAGCACTTGCCGAGGTAAGATTTTTATACTGATGTGCCAGAGATAATTTTTTACAATAGGATTCTTCAATATGAGTTGTTGGATGTGGCTGTGATAACATTGTAATCCAGGATAAATGTTTTGTGCAAGTACCCAGGTCTGTGACTCTCCCACAAATTATTTCTCACTGCAGCTTGCAAATCAGGCTGGAATTCCTGCAGGAGTATACAACGTTATTCCATGTTCCAGACAACAGGCAGCAGTAGTTGGAGAGGTGCTCTGTACTCACCCCTTGGTAGCCAAAATCTCATTTACTGGCTCAACAGCTACAGGAAAGGTATGCATATTTATGTCTTTAAAGTTTTATACTCTAGATTTTTAAATCTTCACAAAGTTGTGGCTAAAGTGTTTTAGGAACAATTTTAGTATTTGTTTTATATACTTAAAGATGTTAATATTTTTCCATAGTTCAGCTTTCTTGGGAAAGTTTTATAGATTCTGTTCATTCTTCAAGGATTGCCATCCTTTTCCCTTGATTTCTGCATGCCCCGGCCCACCTGTTCCTAACTTGCTGATCTGCAGATGGGATGGATCTCACAGAATCTTTGACCAGTGCAGCCTAGGCATTCACAGGTAGCCGTAATGACAACACATACTTTGCCCTTTCACAGTTGAGTCTCGAGTCTGCACACAAGAACATGAAGAGTGGACGTTTTATTGTAATGTCCTAGTGCCCATTTCCTCACATGCCCCCTCTTGCAGATGCCTACATTCCACAGCGATGGGCATGGCTGGCTAGAGATTTGGAGATTTGGAGATCCACGCGTGTGAAAAACATCAGGTTGTGGAAATCTGCTTCAGGCCATCAAGTTTTTTTTTTATATGAAAGAACTATTCATTTGGGGAAAAAGGTGCTCTGAGAGAATAATGATGTTAAATTTTGGGATATTTTATTAATATTAGGCTTTTATGACCCATAAGTCCTGCCTCAAGGAGGGTCTAATTTATGCAAATTTTATTAGTAGCATTGATTCTAATTAAGATTTGGTATTGAAGAAGGAAATTTGTTCTTGTCCTGTTTTTCTTTTTTCCAACCCAGCAGAAAGTTGGAAAGAAATTATGTAAATGAAAGTATATATGTTAAAATAGACTAAATGTAAGACAGAGGCACTGTCCATTAACAGGATAACTCTTCCAAAACTAAAAGATTAGGATCAAATTTGATTTGGGGGGAGAGGGCGAAGAAAGCAGGAAAAAAATTATTAAGTTCAAAAATGATCCAGATCCAGCTGGGGGCTATTGAGAAATCATTCCAGAAAAAAGTTCCCACAATGCAGTTGGGCAGCAGCTTGGAATGCTACTGACTAACTACTCCATTCTGAGCCCCTCCTTCCTCCTGGTCATGTGATCTAGATCAGTGTTTCTGAACCTCAGCCACTTTAAGATGTGTAGACTTCAACTCCCAGAATGCTGGTGCTGCTGTTGGCTGCTGCATGCTGGCTAGGGAATTCTGGGAGTTGAAGTCCACACCTCTTAAAGTGGCTGAGGTTGAGAGACATTGATTAAAGTATAGCACATGTTCCCTGCCCTTTGCTTCCCAGCACACACATGCATACACAGATGCAGCATGAGAGAAAAGCAGAAACACACACATGCGCAGAGAAGAAGAAAATATAAATGCTTCCTAAAGCCACTGCTAGAGAAGAGGGTGGAGAGAATTCATGACTTGGTTTTAACTGATACCCTTTGGAGCAACTAATCTGTGGCTTGGAATATTTGTTAAAAATGGTATCAAGAAATGCCTTAAAACATTTTCAGAATCCATGCATTTAAATTCATTTCTTGAAATTCAGCCAAAAGCCCCTTAAGAAGCATAATCACTGTTGATTGACTTAAACTGGAGTTTTCAAATTTTTTTAGTCTGTGGAACTTGTTAGTTAAAAACAACAACAACTGTAATCTCCCTGATCAAGAGGCAAAGCTTTAGTGATAGAACTTTTGGGGGGGGGGTCTCTCACAGAACCCCATCCAGTTTTTGCAGAACCCTAAGGTTCCATGAAACACAGTTTGAAAAACCTCGATTTTAATCCCTTTCCCCACCCTGCGGTATTTCCTCGGACTACACCTCCTGGAATTCTCACTGACGCAGAATCCTGGGCCCTGTGCGCCCATCGCATCTGGAGGGCTTTGGGTTCTGGATGATTGACTCTTCTTATCTGACAGCAGCGTGAGACATTTCAGACACAGTATTTCAGTGAATTTACTTCAAAGGACAAGGGTTTCTAATCAGATGCGATTGGGGCAGATTAAGCAACCCAGCTACACACAAGCAAAGCATACGAGCTATAAGCTAAAATTGACACTGGCATATCCGAGGTTTAAATTGATGTTAATTTAAGAAACTGATCATTTCTGCTGCACAGCTTAACACTGGCTTTAGGAAAATATTCTTCTTAGAGTAATTAGCTTTCTGTCTCTGCTGTGTACTTGCAGATATTGCTACGCCATGCTGCTAGCACAGTGAAGCGGGTTTCCATGGAGCTTGGAGGACATGCTCCGTTCATAGTGTTTGACAGCGCTGATGTAGATAAGGCAGTTGCTGGAGCTTTAATTTCTAAATACAGAAATTCAGGGCAGGTGAGATTAATTGTCTTATTTTGTTCAATCTTATGGAACATTTTTTCCTATGTATGCAGCTACTTAGAGCATTGTTCAGTTTTGATTGAATCTTATATTTGAGGAAAATATGATCAATAGCATGTATTATTGTTGTACTTATTATTTAAATTTATATGCTGCCAGACTCCAAGCAACTCATTTATTAGCAATGAGTAAAATTCTTTGACTAAGATCTTAATTGCACGGGCATCGTGTCATTTGTTAGGTTTGGACTTTGCATTTCATGTGAACCCAGCTATTGCAGTTTGTTGAACAGTTTTGTTATGTGTGTCTTTGCTTAAATTACTGGAGGAGTAGTTAACCCCTAGAAGAATATTTTTGCCTGTCCTCTCCCCAGTGTGCTGAAGAAGATGGGGAGGAGTGGGCAGTATATGCCCAGCAGTTTGGTGAGGGGATCCTATATTTTATCAATGAAATAATTTTTAAAAACTCATTTGAGAAATCCTTTTGCTTCTTTCTTTGTTGAAAATAATACATTTTTGTTGCATCAAATTTTGATAATGTTCCTATTATCTGCATTTTGTCTAGAGATTGTAGCCTAGAATTGTTAGGGCAGAAATTATTGAGAGTTTGGAATTTTGGCCTTATCAGAAAAATTGAGTCAGACAATTAAGAAATTGGGAGATTCAAATCCCACACAATATGTGCGGCTGCCATTTTCGACTTTCCGTGCTGGCTTGGAACTTTGACATATTTGGCAGAGTGCTGGTTGGGAAAGGCTGATCTGTATTATCATTGAAGTTAATATATAAGAACAATATGCTGAAATAGCACCTTTTGAATAAGCAGATGAAAGAATTAGCATCACATAGAGACTTTATGAAAATGTATAAATTGCTATTTGTGGACTTCTCATTCTCAAGTTGCTTGTGCTTACAAACCATAATAATTAAATGGGTTCCATATTTCAGATGGAAGATGAACAAAGTAATGGATGCATTAAGGCTGAGTGGAGGAGAGATGTATAATTCTAATTTCTAGATATTTTAGCTGTTGTTCATAGAGACTCTGTCCTGTTTCCCCTCCAGACCTGTGTATGTACAAACCGCTTCTTGGTGCAAAAAGGGGTTCATGATGAATTTGTGAAGAAGTTTGCCCAAGCCATTAAGAGGGAACTACATATTGGCCATGGATTCGATGAAGGGACTACCCAGGGGCCATTAATTAATGAAAGAGCTGTGGAAAAGGTAACAATTATTTATAAAAGAAAAGGTGGTTAAAATGCATATCCAAGTCATGTTTATTGTCTGCTCCTGTATAATAATATTTACTACAACATTTTACTTTGGATTATAGGAGTTTGTCCTAAGTTTGATGTGTTCTTAGGTTGAAAGACACATTGATGACGCAGTGTCCCAAGGAGCATCCATAGTTACTGGAGGAAAAAGGCACAGTTACGGGAAAAATTTCTTTGAGCCAACTCTACTTAGCAATGTGTCAACAAGTATGTTATGTACTCAAGAGGAGACCTTTGGGCCTTTGGCTCCAGTTATCAAGTAAGCCATAAATATTTGGACAGATTTCCATGTAATCATCACAGATCATTAAACTGCTACCAGAAATCTTCCTCTGTGAAATAATGATAACAATAATTTATTAGATTTGTTTGCTGCCTGACTCTCAAAGACTCTGGGCAGCTCACAACAATCAGAGAAATTGCAATAAAATCAATAAAACACTACCCATGTTACCTTGCCACAAAACATACTGGAAGAGAAACTGGATTGTTATAAGCCAATTATGTGTTTTTGTTCTGAGACAGATATTCAGTCAGTCGCTTATTGGCACACTGTTTCTTTCTCTCTCTGTCTCACCCACAGAATGGGATTTTTTCCCCCTGCAATCCTTCCTGACCATTTTTGGATTAAAGGTTATAGGGAAAATGTAATGATTCTGTGATGTTTATAGTTATGGTTATGTTTTTTTTTTAATCATCACGACCAGGAAATGTTGGAAAGGTTTGCCTGTAAAGTAAGGTTTTGCTGCTCATTCCATTTCCCAAATTCTGTGATAAGGTAATGGTGAAGAAAAAGCATCTTGTTTCAATTAATGTTGCTGGGAGAATTTGAAAAGTACTGAAGTTTTCTGAAGATGTCCATGTGTTATGCATGGTACATATCTTATGCTATTACTCTTTCAGTTTGCTTCAGTATTTCATAGAGGAACTCTGGATATAAATATACCCACAACAGAGCTGTCATTTGTTTAACTGTACTTAAATGAATATGAGATGAAAGTATCTCTGTATACTTTCTTGGTAGGCCTAAATATTTCTCCCCAGCCAGAGATCTTTTACCTGATGGGTATCTTCAAGATTTTCAAATCTTTTCCAAAGTAAATAAGTTAGTCTAAATGGACGCTCTTCAAAATTATCTCATAGGAAAGTGTGGATGTTTCTATTATACAAGGTTATAAAAATATCACGATGTGCTCCTTTATTTCAGGACAAATTATTTTTCTTTCCCATTGATGTCATATTTCTGTTTTTGCAGATTTGATACAGAAGAAGAAGCACTTGCCATCGCAAATTCAGCCAATGTGGGTCTAGCAGGTATGTGCTTTTTAAATAGGTAGTATTTAAAATTTGACAAAACATTGTTATACTCAAGGAAGTCAAAATAGTACATACTCATACATACTTTGACTAGCATCTCAGAGGCTGTAGCTAACTGAATTCCCAAACATGAGAAAAATATAGAATACCACTAGAGCTGGTATGAAATAATTCTGCTCCATTGCAAATAATTGGAGTTTTTTCTTTCTCTTACGAAAAAGAAAAGAGGAAGGGCAGCAATGGTACTTTAGTCTTCTATCTTCAGCAGGAGTTGGGAACATATCAGGATGCTCCTGGTAGTCACTAGAATTGTTTGGCCTTTTTCCCCCCCCCCCCCATGAAGCTTTCAAATGCAGTGGGTGTTACAGTTACTTACTGTTCAATTACTCAAATTTGCAGGTTATTTTTATTCTCAAGACCCAGCCCAGATTTGGAGAGTCGCTGAGCAGCTGGAAGTTGGAATGGTTGGTGTTAATGAAGGAATTCTCTCTTCTGTGGAGTGCCCATTTGGTGGGGTAAAACAATCAGGGCTAGGAAGAGAAGGTTCTAAATATGGTATTGATGAGTATTTAGAAATAAAATATGTTTGTTTTGGAGGTTTACAATAGCCATTTGTTAGGACTCTAGCCAAAGTAGGACTATAGTTTTGGCCATTCATAGGCTTTGTTTAGCAAGCTAACTTGGATTTTTTTTCTTTTCATAAAATAACTCTGATCAGGTTTATGTGTAGAGACGTCTGTACTTCAAATTATGTCAATATATATAAAACAGTTCTTCATAATTACATTGTAATTGCAAATGTTAATATCTATCTTGGTCATAATGCAGAAACAAATCATATTTGCTGTTGACATTCAGAAGGATTTGGAAATCTTTATTCCTAAACATTTTTGGAGTATGCTGGGCAGCTTCTCTACCCATTTTTTTTCTCACATGTGAAGAGTTATAAAAGTGATGGAATCTTGAATATTTGTGCCAAATTTTGAATTTTACTCCTTTTGTAATACCTTTTTTCCTAATTAATTGGGGAAAATCCAATTTTCATAATTGTTCTTCAGCTGTTGTCTGAAATATGTGTCCTTGTGGATATATGTGGGTTGTGAGCCACCCAGAGTCCCCCATTGGGGGGAGATGGGCAGGGACAAATTTAATAAAATAATAATAATAATAATAATAATAATAATAATAATTTAAAAATTCATTTCTAATATCCTCCTGTTAGTCAATAGGACTAGGCTTATTTAAGGAGAGATTTGCAATTAGTATCCTGTAGTTAAGCTTTACAATAACACAAACTAATGGGCAGTAATCATTTCTGCCAATACGTAATGTACACAGTCTTCAGAGATTCTTAAATTGGCAAAAAAATGAAATCCTTATAGAGTTTACGAGGCAGAGTAACAAAGACAAATTTTAATGATAAATACTAATGCATAATATATTCATTCAGACCTGCTTGGGACCAGTAGCTGCATAAAATAGTTAGATATAATTGACATATGCTCATTTTTTAAAAACCACATTGATCCATGGGACCGCTATAAACATGAGAGTGCTCTATGGATGAATCCTTTGATACCTGCAGAATTAACTTAGTCTAACCTGGATGATTCATCATTCTCTTTTGTAATAAATAAACTGATTATTTTTGAAATAGGATGGAAAAATTAGCATGGCACTGACATATTGCTGCATTAAATTGAACATGCACTTTATATGTCAAAACTGCATTTGAAATTTTGCATTACTTTTTGTTCCATGCTGTTCGAGGAGGTAGTTAAAAGTGCTTCTCCTTGGACTGCAAACTCCTCTGCAATATACAGACTGCCTCTGAGGATCATCACTAGGCTTCAGAAGCAGCCTGCATTGTTTCCTGAACAGCACAAAATCAAAACCTTCTTTGATTATAGAAAGTACTTGTTTTAAATTAACTTTCACTATCACATTATTTTTTTCTTTAAAGTACTGGGAAAAAAAATCAGATTGTGGTAGTTCCAAAAAGCACTATTTGTAACGTTGTTACTCTTTTATTAAAAAAAAGTAGAAGCCATATGTGCTTGATCTGTACGTTAGCCAGTAGAGTATTTCATAAATAATTGTGCCATTTACATTTCAAAATGTTTGGCTATAGCACAAATGAACACTTTAACCTATTACATATTTTAATTTCAAAGAAATGTCTCAAAGGTTGGATCAGTTTGGTAATGTATCTAATATTTGTTTGTATGTTTACTTTTTTTTTTAAAATCACAGTATATGTTTACATTCATATAAAGGGATACTTGAATTTATTACTTAATTGACTTTTTCCTAGACTTTTTCTTTACCAGATATGGATGTGAACAAATAATTATTAATGTAATAAAAGTTGGACATTCACATTTATTGTCAAATTAGATTTGCAAGACTGTTTCCTCTTTGTGATGTTCTCATAAATTTGAGGAAAAAAGCAGGGGGAATGGCACACTTTATTAGAGCAAATGTTGATGGTAAAATAGTTTATGTAACCCTTCCAGTTATACAGTTTAGTAAATTGAGTATGAAAGTCCCTACAGCTGATCTAGATTTTGAGGAAACTGAGGGTATGCATAACATCTGTGATCACTTAATGTAAAGAATAGCTTAATCCCACATTTTCTTTGCTTGAGATGTGTGCTTTTATTGCCCAGTAGATGTATTTAAGATTCTGTTCCATTCATTGTTGTTCACATCTGACTTGTAACTTGGCTTTTGTACAGAATGTACATGCACGCACACCCACCATTGGCTTTGTGTTTAATCATCCTATTTATTTACTGCAAGGTTATTTCACACAAGTTTGGACTACATGATACAATCCCTAGGAAATTATTCAACAGCTCATTCTTACAAACCTATGAAAGTTCGAGCATTCGAGCATAATAACCACTTAAGGAAAATGCTAGGGTGCTTCCCAGATTATATTTTACTCAGATAGAGTCTGGGTAGAATAAAGTATATATATTTAGCTCTGAGAAACAGCTCTCACACAAATTATCCAGGAAAGGTCCTTGTATGAAGTGGTCCTTAATTGTTTTTCTGAACAGCCAGAGCAATTTTAACCCTAGATCTAGCTTGCTAGGAGAGGGTAAGATTAGAAGAAAGTGCCAAGAGTGATCCTGAAAGTAGGAGACAGTCAAGAGGGTTATGCCACAAATAGCCTGACACTGGAGTTTTCCAACTGTTGTATTCAGTGGGAAGAAAAAGAAGTCACGTGCTCACTCTCCCACAGATTGGCAAGAAGCAAGGTTTTGCATGGGGCCAGTTTTTGTTCCCTCCAAAATATATTCATATCTGAATATATATTCCTTCCATATATTCATTTTAGATTGCACTATAACTGCTGATCATAATAGGGCTATGTATGTTTTATTTAGAAACTATTTTAATTTCTTAAGCTCAGGCAAGCCAGGGCCAGTTCTCAACCTGTCATTAATATAAACAGATAACAGTTTAACAGCATTATTTTATCAAAGCAGAGTTTAGCAGCAATATAGCTTGATACTTATTCATCCCTCCTCTCCACACTCATACCTCTCCTTTATTTAGCAAATAAATGTTAAGTGAGAAATGTTTTGGCTACGTATCACAGTTTTAATAACTATGATAAATTTTCATATTGACAGAAGTGACTTCCTATACAGACAAAGTCACTCGGTTCTAAGGAAAATAATATAAGGAAGTTTTCCTCTATGATCTTCATAACTTAAGAGTCTTGGCTAAGATTTAAATAGTAAACCTTTAGATGTCCATGAGACGCAATGTAAATGCCATCTCTGGTAACCGTGGCTTAAAAAACATTCCATATACCCCACGTATGGCAAGTTAAAAACTACTGCTTGAAGAGCAGCGCAAAACATCCATAGGATCCATCCCCCTCTTCGCCATGCTGGAAGTTTATGAGTCTGTCTGCGCCTTTGGGACTTAAGGAAAACCAAGAGAAGGCTGTCCAGTCTTCAGTGCACTAAAGTACCATTTTCTAACAAAGCAGCTCGTTCATTTATCTATCCTTTGAGCTGTAGCTGAAGGAGACACCATTTTTCATGGCACCATTCACCAAGTTTCTGGAGTTTTCTCGTTCAACCTTCTCCCTGCTAAATATGGTATCCTGGTCGCTCTCAAACTCAGACTCTGAAACCATCAAACTGGAATTGTGTTCGGTACTTCTGTGTTTTATACCTGGGTGGGAGGAAGCCACAAGGATGAGGATTACAGGTGCACTGCAGTGATCTTAGGACATCCTTCCAACTACCTGATGTTCCAACAGGTCGTCAAGCCATGTTTTAGTTTAATCATAACTGGTTGGCTGAAATCACAGATCACACTGAGCCAAAGTGAAACAAACACATTATGTCTGAATGCAATCTGTAAACCAAGCCACTTTTTCCATAGAAATAGTAATTCAAGCCCAAAATGGAACATAAATTAATGGCAAAATCAATTAATTACAGTCAAAAGGATCACCCCTAGTAACAGTTAAATCAAAACAACTTATTAATGCTTTAGTGCAGACAGATTCAAAGCGATTGGACTAAATAAATAAATACAATTAGTGGTTTTTCACAGTGGTATCAGTGAAAAAAGCAAGAGATCTTTATAGTTTTATAATATTACTAATTTGTTATGGCATGAACTTTTATTACCAGCTTGCTCCATCAGATGCAACTCTCCCTTCAACTGTAAAGTCATTATTTTTCATTTTAAAATGAAAGAAACAATAAGGAAAGAAATGTCATACCATATTTGGGCCTGAGCTCCATTCTTTCTTGATCATCTATGTTATCCAAAATTGTATATTTCATTTTCTTTCTTATTTTGGTCCTCTTTCTGCTATGAATTAAAGAGAAATAAATTAGGTTCTGGTAAACCAGCTTCCTAATGATGCACGCCTTTGCTCTTGAGCTTCATCCATATAGTGCTATTCATGTCCATTTGACAAGTGCAGCTGCCCTCGAGGTGTGACCGCACACAGCATAACCCCATGCGCAGGGCTTCACCTGAGGAGCCCTTTTACAAATAACCAAATCTCTGTGGGTTGTCCTGAGTGTGGTTAAAGCCTCTCTGGGTGGTCACACCCAAAAGGACTGGGTTCACCCTGTTCACAAAGATATAAACTGGTTTAATTGGTTGTGGCCCTATGTGGACGCACTGTGTTTTATAAAACATGGTTGATAATGGTGCATGTTATACGATCCCAGTTGAGTATGGTTTATTTAAAAAGCCAAGGTAAATCATACCATAGCCTCATGTGATATGTAAATCTAGCTAGACAGCTTATTGTACAACATTTTGCCCACCTTACTGTATTGCGGGTAATCACAAATACGGGGGGGGGGGGGGTTTATTTTTAAATCAGCTTCTCTCATCAGGTGCTTCAAGATGTGTTGAAACTAGCTAGCCGTGATGCCTAGGACTTCTGGGAGTTGTAGTCACAGCACATCTGTTTAATAACATTTCCAAATTCATGGATTCATTAAAGAGCCGATAGTCCCTGTTCTCTTAAAACATCTTTATGATTAAAAGTATGCCTCTAATGTATGTTAGCAGGCATCATAAACCAAAGATGGACAGCCTACAGCCCAAACTTCCCTTTTTTGATGGGAGGGTGGCCCCAAAGCCTGCCATGATTACATTACTGCAATTAGCTTTTGGGCCTTTTGGCTGTAAATAAATTTTTAAAAAATTACTGCAATTCAGTGGCAAATTGTCAAGTATAAACACTGTTAATTTCACACCAATCTCAAATTGCTATAAGCCTTTGGACAGATTGAGTGCAACTTGAACTACAACAACAAAAAACTCTGAGAATCAGGGCCACCATTTGCATAACATGATTTTATCCAACCTGCCAATAAATAATGTTTATTTTTTTAAAAAATGCTTTGACTTTCCTGATCCCTGGCTTAACCTGAATAGAGGACTATTACCTTTTGCAACAGCAGATACAAAGCCAAGTTAATCCTACCACCAGTGCAATCACAATGAAAGCAGATGCTGTTACATAGAGTATACTCCATTCTAGAAGACAAAATTGGAACACTTAAAGTTAGAATCAAAGTTGAAAAGACCCATTTAGGTATCTACAAGGAGAGGCAAGGGGAGAAAGTGGCAAAATGTACATTTCATTTATTTTTTATTTATTAAACAAATGTATATAGCCACCCATCCACTGAAAAGAACTTTGCACTACGTCACCATGATGCAAACCCCATGACTTACTTGCATCTAATGTCAGGATGTAAATATGAAAAGCTGGGAGGTGGGGGTTGAGTCAACATCTCACAATGCACATTTTGTCTTTGTGGTTAGTAGCATTTGCCTATGATTTAGGCCAATGAATCCAGCATCCTGCTGATTGCAAGAATCCAAATTAAATCATCTCAGATAGGTAGCTATCTAGCCTCTGAATGCATCCAGTCAAGAGGAGTGCATCCACCACTTCTCAGGATAATTGTTTTCCTTCCAATAACCTAAATTAATTATTCCATGTCCTGCATTCTGTTGACATCCTCAGATACTTGAAGAGGGATTTGATATTCTCCTTCAGTCTTCTCAAGGCTAACCATTCCCAGTTCCTTCATAGGACTTAGTTGCTCATACCTTGTTCATTCTCATTGCTCCTCTGAATCTATTCCAGTTTCCCTGAATCTTCTTAAAGTGTGGCACCCAGAACTGACACAAAACTCAAATTAGGATCTGAGCAACCCAGAATAAAGTGGAACCATTACTTCTTGTGATTCAAACGTTGATTGCTTCTGTTGTTACTACAAAAAATTGTGTTTATCTTTTTTTTACAGCCAAATCACATTGCCTTATATTCAGTCTATAGATTATTTTTCCAAAATCTTTTTCACAAATATTGTTAGCAAACCTGGTATCACCTGTCCTATATCTGTGCATTTGACTTCTTTTTCCTAAGTGAAAAATTTTGCAGTTGTCACTGTATTTCATTCCATACTTTCAATCCATTTTTCTCATCAATCTATATTGTCTTGAATTTCATATCAACAGAAGACTTTTACTAGTGGCTTCACACAGATGTTAAATAGAATGAGGGAAAAACATCCCTGTGCTGGAGCAACCACTGGCTCGACCATGCTCTTGAATATTGACTGGAACTGCCCACTTAGGTAGAAGCAGAACCACTGTAAAACAGTGCCTTCAAACCCCAATGCTTGTATGTGGTTTAAAAGGATACCATGGTCAGTGGTATCAAAAACCACTGGGAGATTTAATAGGACTGAGAGGAGTACACTCTGCTTCTGAAGATCAAGAACCAGAGCAACCAAAGCCATTTTGGTCCCATAACCAGGCCTGAATCCTCATTGAAGGAGATCCAGATAATCTATTGAATCTAGGACTGTGTACAGCTGAAACCTCACCATCTTCTCTGGCTCCTGTCCCAAAGCAAAAAGGGAAAGTTGGAGATCGGGAGCTGGATTGAGATGTGGTCGCTTCAAGAACTTCCTCTCTGAAAGAACTGTAATTTGTTTTTGGAAAACATCCTTCTCCCCTAGGTACATGGGGGGTATGTACCCCAACAGCTGTTGGTCTCCTTTTTTTCTTCTTCAGAATCAAAATATAATCCCAGGAATCTAGGATGACCTCTAAGGGATCCATTGGTTTACCTGCCACCACCAAACCCTTTCCTGCTTTGGAAATTGTTTGTTTTTGTGATTTGGTGGAATGTACAAAAGGTATAGAGCAGCATAGTCACTTTTTTTTTAACGAATTGTCCGCCAGTATTATATACGCTCGGGAATCAACTTGCCCCATCTCCATTATACCTTTTAAATCATATTTGCCTTCCTGTTCCAAGATTTCAAGCTATTTAGTTCCCATACTCTAGCCAGTGTTTCTCAACCTTGGGAACTTTAAGATGTATGGACTTCAATTTCCAGAATTCCCCAGCCAGCCATGCCAGCTGGGGAATTCTGGGAGTTGAAGTCCATACATCTTAAAGTTCCCAAAACGGAGAAACACTGCTTTAAGCATACAAATTAAGGCGATCCAGACCATGAACACGATCAGTCATTGTTCCTTATGACCTTTCTTTAAATCATAGAATTATAGGACTGGAAAGGACCTTGGATGTCATCTAGTCCAACTCTTTGCCCAGCCAGGAATCTTCATACCATCCTTGACAAATGGTTGGTTTAATAAACCCCATTACAACAGCACTCCCACTTCCTTCTGCAGTGCACTATCAATATCAAGATAATACCTTAACAGATGTAGGTTATTCCTGGAAAACATCATTAAGTTCTTCCCAACTCACCACAGTTGCTCTCCCCATTGCTTAGGTATCGCTGTATCAAATTTTCCATCCACAGTTGATAGCAAATGCAACGCTTTGTGATGGGGTCACAGCGTCCATGTCCAGAACACTTTAAGAGGCAAGCTGGAAATCACAAAGCAACTGAAATTATTTATGTACTTAAAATTAAGTCTAGGCCACTTTTAAGGGTGAAAACTACCCCTGATATTTTTCTTGCCCTGGACTATGGCATTCAAATACGTACCAGCTGTGTCAACACGAAGCACTTTAAAAAGTAGAAAATCTGGCTTTTCCTTCAAGAGTTGCAAATGCAGCATTTGTGCAACATCTGAAGCCTTTATGATTTTGTATGGATGCCCATTCTGAACATAGAACACAACAGCAGTGCTGAAGGGAAGATACATAGATTAAATATCAATACATTTGTTACAACAAGAAGAATTCTTTAGCTGGGATTAACACCACATACTGCAATTAAGATTCTTTCTTCTTGGAATAACCCCCTAATTGTAAATATATAGTTGGCTGCTCGTAAAGCTGCTAAGTTTCTGTCCCATGAAATAAAACAAGGAAAACTAGACATTGCAAAGCATAAAGTTCCAGAACTGTAGGATTTAATTCAGATATCAGGCTGCTTTATCAGAAATGCAGAAACCCACTTTTGGATTTAGGTCCCAAGCTGAAGGTGAGGCCAAAGTTTAATACCCAGTCTTACAATGTCTACTCTGAAATTCAGTGGGACTAATACCCAAGTAGATGTGTATAGAATAACAATATATACTCTGTGTGTGTGTATTATGGTTTCCCTACTTTCTTGTACCTGATATCAGAATAAGCATGTATCTTCTGGATATTAATTTCTGAATCTAAGACATCCAGGAGTGCTGCTAGCTGTTGTACAAGGGTATCTTTCTGTTGTTCAGTCAGCTGACCAACTTCAACTTGCAAGATCAGCTCCACAAGCCCGTTTTTCTTTGGGTCTGTAAGTGAAAAAAATAATGTTTTTCCTCAGAGCCTGCCAAGTGGTGCCTAACTACATGGAGGTAATATTTGGAGGTAACTCCTAGCTAACCTTAGTTAGGTACTTGAATGAGAAACTGCGAGGGAATTCCAGGGTTTCAAGCTAGATTGAAAAGTTTAAAAAACATCTTGGAAGATGGCAACCACCTCCATTATGTTGACAAGAAAACCACATGGAAGTGCCCATTAGTCAACGAAAGTTCAAAGCATCTGATTGGATGATACTTCTGATATGCTTTAAGCATGTGCCATGAACTGCAATGGAAATGCGAAAGTTCGGAATGCTACCATAAAAACTTCTGCATCAACAGGAAATCTGACCCAAGGACTAATTATTTGGATTGGGGAGATCTTTAGCCATTTTGCCAAAGAAAAGGGATTTGGGAACAACACAAGAAAATAGCTTAGGCTATAAATGTCTTAGGAAACAGTTTACCAGGCCGCACTTCTACAATTGCTGTGTCAATGTCTGAATCTCCTTTGCCATCAGTGACTTTCAAGTGAAACATGTAGGTCCCTTCTACAAGATTAGTTAGCTGTAATACAGCCTCACGATTGGAGCTAAGAATCACATCCTGCAAAAGCAAAGGAATTGGCACTCAAAGACCACTTTCAAATTCATTCTTATCTGAAGCCAATTATTTGATAACTCTCTGTTACCAGGACTATCTCTCAAAATGTTGTTGCCTGATCAAACAGCAGTTGCCCTCACCCACATTCACACTTACTCCAATCAAGATTCATTGTACCCAAAGTTAATTGAGCTATTATGACATGTGAGACATAAAGTCCCACAACTATCTCTCTCTGCAACTGGCAGTGACAGCCAGCCTGAATGCCATAAAATTGGTCTAGGACACATTGGCTAACAGGTATGCCGCAAAGTACGTATCCTCAAAACCATGAATCTTTTTTCTTTACTCCTATTCTAAGAACAGAAGCGTCTCCAAGTGATTTGCCTGAGATTATTCTACCAAAATCTAGTTGAACCCTCAATCTGATGGATCATATTGGCTTCAAATTCATATAAACAGTAAAAAGTAAAGATAGCTTGATTAAATAAACACAGAGAAATATTCCATTTGGCCTAATTAGATAATTTAAATACTTACTCCAGCTGCTGGACTCTGTCCATCCCGGATCCAAAGATAAGACACAATTCCTTGATCATCAACAGAGTGGGACCCATCTAAAGCAATTGAGTTATTGGGGAGGACAAGGATATGTTTTCCCCCTGCAAGGGCCTGGGGTGGAGAGTTGCTACCTAAATATAACAAAGGGAGATACTTGTTCAAACAAGAAAAGAGGATGATAATGCAGACATAGCCCAAATGCTATGCTTATATTAAGAAAATTCTCAGAATGCAGGGGAATTAAACTTAAATGCTGAAATGATTTATCAAAACAGCCCCAACCATCTAGGAAGCACCAAACTGCCTGTCCCTGGTTAGACAATGGGATTAGGACTAGAAAGATTAAAATAGCAGCCATAAATATCTAAAACACGGGAGATTAATAGAA